CTGGTCTATCATTTGTGTTGTTCTTTTAACAAGACTAGGTTAAGCTAAAATGAGTGGAGAGGGGAAGAAGGGAAAGGGTATTCCCAGTTATACTTTTGATTTGATTCATAATTTATTGTCTGTATAGTTTCAGCTGCTGGCACCACAGAACAAATCAAACATTTACAGGGGGTTATTGGGGGTTATTTGGTTTCCTTACTGATGTATGAATAAACCTTTTTTTAGCCTTGAGCCTGAAATTCTTAAAGGCAGTTGAAATTATGTCAGAATTGTAAGGTGCTTTATGGAACTGCCAGTAGTTTTTCAAGCAATACTTATTCTGACTTCATTTTTAAGGCACTAAATTCTGTTCTACCAAAAGAAGCTGGCTTAAAATGTTGGGCTTTTAAACTTTCAGGTAAAAAGAGAAATACTCAGGTAAACCGTAAAATAAAGGTGAAAACAGTAAACACTCAGGTAAACATTAAAATGTCATCTGCATTTTTATTTCAGCTTTCCGGAGTTTGCAATTTTGATCTAGTTCAATTTGATTTGTGTTGTTATTAGAAGTAGTTAGTTGTACATACCTGTTCCTTCCAGAAGATGCCAGGAGTTCTAACCATTGCTTTCCCCAAAACTGGACTTGTTTTTTTAATACGTCATACTGTAGCGAGTGTTACCATAGCAGTTTGCTAGATGCAATGTGAGCTATGTACTATTTGCATACTATGACCTAGTAGGTATTACCTTTACTTCAAAATTCGTGTTTGTGAAATGTTATCCCTAGTTGTGTTCGAGCTAGGCTTGATTGCAGATTCAGTTGAATGCTTACTGAATGCTGAGCAGTGGCTTTTTCTTTTGCTATTTGACAATAATAGGTGTCCATTCTTACTCCTAGAACAACAACAACCTAGATGCCTGTTGTCGAGCCCTCGCACAGGAGAGCAACAAGTACTTATATATGGAGTACCATAGCCCTGATGACACCAGAATGAGTAGAAATAGCCTTTTGCACATTAATCTGGGTATTCATCCTCATACCAGCTATCATGCAGGGGATGGAGCTCAACTTAATGGTGGTCGTACACTGGTACACAGTTCAAGCGATGGACATATTGATCCACAACGCACAGCAGGTAAACAGCTGATATGCTTAGTTCAAGAACCACATTCTGCTCCTGCTGTTGTGGCAGCTTCTTCTAGTTACAATCCATTTTTCATGAATGACCAGAATAGAAATGCAGCTACTCCTCCTCCACAGCCACCTCCACAGCCATCTTCCATACAACCAGGAATGAACACGTCTGCTATGCAAGGCCCTCCTCCCACGTATATGCACATACCTCGGTACAGTACAAATCCCATTACTGTTACAGTATCACAAAACCTCCCCTCTGGACAGAGTGTACCCAGAGCTTTACAAATTCTTCCACAGATTCCAAGCAATCTTTATGGGACTCCTGGCTCTATTTATATACGACAAACATCTCAAAGTTCTTCAGGACGACAGACTCCTCAGAATACGCAGTGGCATTCATCGCCACAGGGCCCAGTTCCACATTATACTCCCCGTCCTCTACCTGTGTATCCACATCAACAGAACTACCAACCTTCTCAGTATTCTCCTAAACAACCCCAGATCCCTCAGTCAGCTTTTCGATCACCACCGGCATCCCAGTGTCCTTCTCCCTTTGGCTCTCCTCAACACCAAGTTCAGCCTCCTCAGTTGGGTCATCAGAGTTCACATGTTTTCATGCCTCCTAGTCCTTCAACTGTCCCAACCCATCCGTATCAGCAAGCATCCCAGACTTTTCAAAAACAGGGTGGTCACTCTGTATCGTATCTTCCCCCTTTTGCTGGATCTAGTTTATCCAAAGGTTCCATGAATAAAATAGAAATTACAGTTGAGCCACCGCAAAGACCTGGGACTGCAATGAACAGAAGTCCTTCGCCAATAAGTAATCAACCATCTCAACGAAACCAGCACCCGCTGTATGCAGCCACTACTCCTCCTTCAAGCTCTCCATCAAGAGGTATGTCAGGTCAACCCAAACCTCCATTTAGTGTTAATCCAGTATATATTACCTACACTCAACCAACTGGACCTACCGGTGCACCAACACAGTCTCCTCGGGTAATGGTATCTCAGCCAAACCCAACCATTTTTAAAATCACAGTAGGTCGAGCACCGACTGAGAATCTTTTAAATTTAGTGGACCAAGAAGAGCGTTCTGCAGCACCAGAACCTATTCAGCCTATTTCTGTAATCCCAGGATCTGGAGGAGAAAAAGGAAGCCATAAGTATCAGAGAAGTTCTAGTTCTGGATCAGATGACTATGCTTACACTCAAGGTAAATGTTTCAGCCTGCAAATTGTATTATTGTAAAATGCATTTTCAGCTTGATTTTGCTACTTACTAAGTGAGAATTTTTGAGCCTGCACAAAGAAGAATAGAAATTGCACCAAAAATCATCTAATGAGAGAGTTTGTTCAGATTTTTAAAAAATTTTACCAAAATTCAGTCTAATACATAAAGAATTTCTGAGGTTCTTAAAGTTGCTATGCTTTTGATGTTAGGGGAGTTTCTTAAAAGCAAACACTGCAGCTAACAAGAGTAAGTGGTTTGTTCATATACTGTGTATCTGGTTTGTAAATTCTGCGTTGAAGAACTGTGTCATAAATTTACATGTGGATTTTAGTATTTTTTGTGTTTGTTCTGTACTCGGGTGCTTTATAAAACCTGAAGCACTAACTTCTGCAGGGAATTTGAGTCCAATTTATTTGGTTTAGATTGAAGAGTATTAAGTAAAAGAGGAGAGGGAGGTAGGATTGCAGCTAAAATTTCTTCAGGTGTCAATACAAATCATATTTTTGTTTTGAAAAGTATTAAAATAATTATTTTGAAGAACTTAATCAAAAGTTCACTTCTTTCACTTAGAGTTTTCAAAGAGGAGGAGGAGATTGGCAGACAAATTTTAGGATGTGTGTTCTGCTGCATAGGGATAGAACATAGTCTTAATGCCACATATAAATGAAGAATTAAGTAATCTAGTAAAAAAAAAAAAAAGGGTGAAATCTCACCTTTAGCTGAAAACTGCTTTTCTCAGAGTAATCTGCTTTATAGAGTTGAAACATTTAAAATTGAGCAAATGAATCAGTCTGCAAGCATTCAAACCAATCATTTGGGGTAATGACAGAATGATAATCAGCAGCAATTATTTAAAGAATGTGCTTTGTTTCTGGATTTGTGTTTGGAAAAAAGGATCTATTCCTCCATTGCTCCTTCTAGCCTTCCTTTCACTTTAGAGCACTGAAAATAATGGTTGTAATGCTGCCCTGTAGCTCTTGACTTCTTATTTCGCTTTATGTCTTTTGAGCTATTCTAACTCATCAATGAAGAGATGTTCCGTACCTGATAGACTCAATTAGAAATGTGATTTAGAGAGAACGAACACTAGTAGGTCTGTAGCTCCTAGGCCATATGCTTTGTTTGGTAGTGTTCTTATTACAGCTTCATTAAAGATTGTCAGTTATGTGAGAAAACTATAAGTAGCTTCACATACCTGAGAAAAACATATTCTGAAATGTAGAAATCTGGTTTTGCCTTTGTATCTTTGACTAGATCTGTGTATTTGAAAAACAAAACCAATAAAACTACTTAGTATATGCTTTTTGGGGCATTTGCTTTTATGGCAATACCTACCACAGCTGGGACTTTATTATAGCCTTTGGTATTGCTGCACTCTGAACTCTTGATAGAAATAAATAGTAGAAGAATAAACATTATATTCTTTACTACCACAAAGGAGTCCTGAAGAAGAGTATATTTAACAGCTTAATATAGGGAACAAGTTTATTTAATTTTCTTTTGAATATGAACCATTGTGTAAAGCGTTACCAAAAATCCATTCTGGTGTCTGTACTTCCTCTGTTTGTTTGTAGAGTGAGCGATGTTTGATGAGTTGTACTAGAGTATAATGCGAAGCTATGTAATATAGTCATATCAGATGTTAAATTGGAGGAGTCACACAAAGCCTAGGTTTGATAGTAATAGTGGAAAATCATACAGCCTTGTTTTTTTTTTTGGTTTGTTTTTTTTTTTTTTTTTTAATTTTGTAATCTTTTAAACTCTAGTTGGATGACTTATGGTACTTCAAAAAGTAGAGAATAGTTTTGTTCAGTAATACTGGTGCCTGTATTATAAAAACATCTGATGTTATTCTTGGATAGGATTTTCAGTGTTTATTCTTTAGCTGTGAATTGGTGGATCCGTACAAAATCCAAAGTATAGTGCTACTTTTTTGCACAGAATACTGACGTCTGATAAAAAACAGTGTCATTTTTATGCTCGTGACTGGGGTTTTTTTTTTGTATCTTCCCCCAGTAAGCTGTGTCATATTGTTGCTTATTTTTCTAACTTTTTTTGTTAGCTAGTATGCAAATGTTCTTGAGATACTATGTGGTTTTTCTTTGCCTGTGTTGGATAGGGGGTGAGGAAAAGGGCAGGTGCTGGGTGGTACTTTCTATGAAATAGCATTTTGCAGATTCTACAACGTCTTCATACACTTGAACAGTTTGCTGGAACATTGTTATATGAGCAGTGTCCTTGTCTGAATACCCACAGCAAATTTCTCTTATTTTTCTCTGTCCTAGTAGACTTTAATCAGGTAAAAACAGCCAGATCAGATGAAATACTGAGAAACGCTCTTCCTGCAGAAACTGAATATTATTTTCTAGCTAGTCAAAATTCTTTCTTTGGCTGCTCTGGGAGCCCAACATCAGCTTGTGACTGAGAGTCGTAAAGTTCAGTACGATGACAAACATGTGAGAGAATGATTAACAGCAGAGAGAGGTTAGAGGACAATGAATCAGCTCTATTGTAGAATTAAAGACTCTGAAGCACCTGAGCTGCCCCCACTTTTTATTTTCTGGATTCTTTAGTCTGTTTTATTGGTCTTCTATAGTTTTGCCTTTGAGCACTGGGGGAACTTACAGTATTGAGAATTACAGTACTCTCTGAAAAGCTAAGACTACTTAAAGTTATTATACATAATCTGTAATAGCGGTGAAAAAAACAATTCAGGACTGACATTTGGCTAATGTCTTATGGCTAGTGTGTCAGGTGCTGTTGAGCAGCAGATATGAAGTGTGTGTTACCTTCTGATCTTACCTCTGGTATTTATTTTTTTTTTGTCAGTACAGTATTAATATAACTAGGTTGCTGTTTCGTCCTGAGAAGCTGTCTCCTTGTACAGGTGCCTTTGTATTTTTGAGACGAGAAAGACCAAATGCAAAAAAAGAAGCTTTGACCAAAATGGTAATATCAACTTCAAGTTACTGTCTAAAATATGTTTTTATTCTGGACGAAATTTTTCTAAATTGTAGTTCATTTGGCATGAAAGCATCTTCACACTGATATTTGGCTGCATGTTTATGATCACTTTTTTTTTCCAGAAAGGTCACTCATGAATCTTACGCATAAATTAAGAATTCCGTTTTCCAGGTTTTTGTGTGTTAGTAACTATTTCTTCCATGTAAAACATTAGCCTTGCTGTTACATCAACGAGCAAGGATGGAGAGATTAGCAAAGGAACTGAAGCTTGAGAAAGAAGAGCTCGAACGCCTGAAAGCCGAAGTCAATGGTATGGAGCATGATCTAATGCAGAGGCGGCTTCGAAGAGTTAGCTGTACAACTGCAATTCCAACAGTAAGCAATTTGTTAGTATTTTAATTCAAGATACAAATTTATTTTTTATGTTTTCATGAACTAAAGTATTATACAAAAAAAATTTTGGGGTATAAAATCCTCAATCTGGAGGTGATTTTTTGTAAATTCTTGGCTTGTTGTAAGCCAGTTCTTATAATTTAAGAAACAGATATGTGTCCAGCTTTCTTAGTGTTCACAACAGAATTTCTGAAACTTGTATACATGTGCTTTTCTGGACCACAGAACTGAATAGATAGTTACTTTCCTACAACCTGTAAAAGTGGATGTCCAAGTCTATTTAAAGAGCCCAAGCCATATACAGCTTGGTGTTCATGCAGCAAGGTTTTGCTTTTTTTTTTAAAATGGTATTTTGTTATATTGCGGTATTTTGTTGATTGAGTAGTTGCATCTCCTAGACAATCTATTTCCCATTTGGTATGTGCAGGATGTGCCAAGTAACTTTTCAGTGGCAGTGCTGGCTCAAATAGTTGGCACTTTTCTCTCCTCTTTTCCTTGTTGATTCTTCCTATCTATGTGACTTCCACCTGCAAGTGACTCTAGCCCAAACATCTGTATGGCTCTGATAAGAGAATTCATCTGACTGAAAAATAACTTCCACTTTGTGCAGTTGTTAGCCAAATCAGTTCAGACTTACTCACTGTGTTGACATAAACAATGGACACAGATGTAGGCTGGAAGGCATAGTGGGGGCTGTTAGCTGCTTAACTAGTATGGCTGCTGTATGTCTCACCTGTCTTGGGGCAGCATTTGGCAGCTATATTCCTGGGAGGAATCCAGAGGCACTGTCTGAGTGTGCAAGGATGAGGTTAGGAAAGCCAAAGCCCAACTGAAGTTGAATCTGGCACGGGATGTCAAAGACAAAAAGAAGGGCTTCTATTAGTACATAGGTGACAAAAGGAAGGCTAGCGAAAATGTGGGCCCATTGCTCAACGAGACCTGGTTACATAGGACATGGAAAAGGCTGAGATACTGAATGCCTTCTTTGCCTCAGTCTTTACAGGCCTTCAGGAATCCCGAGTCCCAGAGACCCCAGGAAAAGTCTGGAGCAAGGAAGGTATACCCTTGGTGGAAGAGGATCAGGTCAGGGAATACTTAAGCAAAGTGGACATACATGAGTTCATGGTCCTGGGTGGGATGCACCCAAGAATGCTGAGGGAGCTGGCAGATGTCATTGCAAGGCCACTCTAGATAATCTTTGATTGATTATGGTGTTTGGGAGAAGTGTCTGAAGACTAAAGGAGCACAAATGTCACTCCTGTCTTCAAGGATGACCCAGGGAACTACAGGCTGGTCAGCCTCACCTTGATCCCTGGGAAAATGATGGGGCAGCTAATCCTGGAGACCATTTCCAGGCACATGAAGGATAAGAAAGTGATCAGCAGTAGTCAGCATGGATTCACCAAGGGGAAGTCAAGCTTGACCAATTTGATAAACTTCTAGAATGAAAAGACTGGCCTGGTAGATGAGGGAAGAGCAGTTATTGTCTACCTAGGCTTCAGTAAGTCTTCCAACATTGTCTCCTGTAAGATCTTCATAGAGAAGTTGATGAAGTATGGGCTGAATGAGCAGACAGTGAGGTGGATTGAAAACCGGCTGAAGAGCCAGGCCAAGAGTGTGGTAATCAGTGGCACAAAGTCTGTTTGGAGGCCAGTAACTAGCGGTGTACCGCAGGGGTCAATACTGGGTCTGATCCCATTTAACATCTTCCTTGATGATCTGGATGATGGGGCAGAGTGTATCCTCAGCAAGTTTGCTGATGACACAAAACAGAGAGTTGTGCTCTATTCAGAGGGCCCTCAGCAAGCTGGAGAAATGGGCTGGCAGGAACCTCATGCCATTCAGCAAGGGGAAGTACTAAGTCCTGCACTTGGGGAGGAACAAGCCCATGCACCAGTATAAGCCAGGGGCCGACCAGCTAGAAAGCGATTTTGCAGAAAAAACCCTGGTGGTCCTGGTGGAGACCAAGCTGAGTATGAGCCAGCAATGTGGCAAAGAAGGCTAATGATATCCTGGGCTGCATTAGGAGCATTGTCAGCAAGGGGAGAGAGGTTATCCTTCCCCTTTATTCAGCACTGGTGAGGCCACACTTGGAGTATGGTGTCCAGGAGTGGGCTCCCCAGTACAAGAGAGAGACATGGTCATACTGGAGAGTCCAGGGACTGGCCACAAAGATGATGAACGGACTGGAGCATCTCTCCTGTGAGGACAGGCTGAGAGAGCTAGGACTGTTCAGCCTGGAGAAGAGAAGGCTCTGAGGGGGATCTTATCAATGTGTATAAATACCTGAAGGGAGGGTGCAAAGATGATGGATCCAGGCTCTTTCCACTGGTGCCCAGTGACGGGACCAGAGGCAATGGGCACAAACTGAAACACAGGAGGGTCCCTCTGAACATCACTTTTTTACTGTGTGGTTGACTGAGCACTGGCCCAGGTTGTCCGAAGCGGTTGTGGAGTCTTCATCTTTGGAGATATTCAAAAGCCATCTGCTGTCTAGGCAGAGGGGTTGGACCAGATGACCTCCAGAGGTCCCTTCCAACCTCAAACATTCTGTGATTTTGTGACTCTCTCTATGATGCTGGAATGTATCCTAGGATAGGATGGTTATTGCTACATACATGTTAATAATTGCTGCTGCTGGCATTAAGAACACTTTGTATTCCAGTAACTTGGGGTTTCTTAATGATGTGCAAGTATATGGACTTAAATAACTGATTATTCTGTTCAGAATAATTACTGTCTTGCAGCATTGAATGATTTAAATATACTGGGCTAGAAGGTTTGGCATGTTGGAGCTCCTTGGGGTGATGCAAATAAATAAACTTCTGACCTTATTCGGTTAAAATCAAGTAATAATTAATGTGAACTGCAGCTCGTATTCTGTTCCCTGATCATCTTGATGTAAACTCATGTAGCAAATTGTCAATTTATACAGAATTTTATAAGGTGTATGGTCTTATAAACTTGAGCTCAGCTACGTCTTCTCATTAATGAATGTTAATATTAAGTAACTTTTTGTTCATTTTTGTTTGGTTGGTTTGTTTTCCTCCTCAAATGCCAATAGAAGAATGTTTTTTGAGGGAATAAATTGGGTAGGGGGGATGGGACAGACAGTGGAATCCTGCCTTTTTTTTTTCAGTGCCCTATCTATACTCAATTTCTAATAAAGCTGTTAACAAAGATATAGCAATGTCATTTCTAGGTCAGATAAGATACTGATTTTCCCACAATTAATATTTTGGGTTGTTTCTTTCTAGCCTGAGGAAATGACCAGATTGAGAAGCCTCAACAGACAGCTCCAGATAAATGTTGACTGTACACTGAAAGAGGTTGATCTCCTTCAATCTAGAGGTATAGAATTGATAGGTTTTTAAAAACATAATTTAAATATGGGCAGGAGTGTTGCAGATGACACCAAGTTGCGCGGGAGT